CTGAAAGCTCATTGACTGTTTTGCAACAATTTTATAACCATTAGAAAGAAAATGAAATGCTGTTTCGAATGCTACCAAGATCCTCCTCTCAGAAACCTTTGTTCCATCAGATGTGGCGCTCGTTTGAAAAAAGCGAAATTACTTTCGGAACGACCTAATATTTAGTGCAGTCGTTGCAGTTCATGGCTGTAAATCTACAAAATGCTAAGGGTCTAAAATCGGCAAATCAAGAGGACTAGATTTGAGTGTTTAGTTGCATTCTAAAAATCTTTGAGAGTAAGACCAAGAAAATTTTCTCCCTTGGTGTGTCCTACTTAGCGAAAAATATCAAATAGCGCATATTATCCGGCAAAGGCTAGATTTTCGTATTTTAAGCCTATTTTTTACTCTTGACTGGCCTCGAAAAAATCCAGCAAACGCTTGAGTAATCTACACTGACCGCAACTGAAAGTGGGCAGGAGAGTGCCTTGTGCAGATCACATGTTTTACTTGCAGATAATCAAAACAGAATTTTGCAAAGAATGAGTCAATTTTGTAAACATTTTTTGGGGTGGGGCATAACAGCTTTTATCCCTTCCTCAATCCTTTACGAAGATTATGAGGTCATAGGCGCACTTAAAAGCTAGGAAGCATCGCAAGAAAATTTTTGGATAGCATGGCCAGGGCCCGGCACGAGGTTGTCAAAAGGCGTTTTCGAAAACGAATTCCCCTTTGACCTAAAAATTTTTTACGAATTCCCCTTTGACCCAAAAACTGATCCCAGTGATTTACCCAAAGAACAAGTTCTATTAAAGAAAGAAACAAATACACTTCACTCATAACAAAAAACCAAATGAGATCACATTAGAGATCTCTTGAGAGAGGTCAATGAAAGATAATTTGCACCGGCAGCTAGGGGGAGAGGATCGTGGAGGGAGGGGGAGGAGTGGGGTTGGAAATTTTAACATTCGTATGCTCACATTTTATGAAACCTCTCACGCTCAAGTACTCGATTTCCACACATATTCCTCACATTCCCGTCTCTTCTCACTCAGTCTCAACTCTAGTAATCCTACAAACATACTCCTAACACTCCACTCATTGATCCCCACCCTTAAGTAATTTACTCTCTTACAGTACCTCTCACACTCACCCTCATCTTTAAATACTCTACTTCCACACCAACTCTTGAATTCCACTCCTCTCACTCACTCACTCTCACCACAAAAAAAATCAAAGCGCAAGCTAGTGCTTTGATTTTTTGGACCTCACTGAGGACAACCAGTGGCGCGCAACTTTTGCAGGGAGTGACGGCGAAGAAGCTCGCCGCCGCGACAGCAGCCAGCGCAGCGGCCGCCTTTTCAGCGGCGAGCTTCCTCGCAGTCGCTCACTGCGCAAGTTGCGGCAGTTAGTCATTAGCAGCAACTGTTTTTCCAAGCTACAGTAGCAAGTTACTCGCAATTAGTCATCCTTGGAACTTTCGCAAAGGAACTCGGAAGGGCAAAAATTGGATGGCTAGAAGTAAGACTATTCTATAAGGTAGATGGGCAAAACGTGTTGCAAAGAACATTTTTTCCTATAAAAGTTTGCATCAACTTATACACATATATACTGTCATCAATTCAAAAATTCAACAACTTTTCCATTGTGTTTGACAATGATGCGCACGAATAACTGTCGTGCGAACAGACTGCATGTGATCATTGACACGCTTTCCAATCTCTGTTATTCCGCGACCACCCTACAAGCGACACATCCGCAAATGTGGGTTCAGAGATAAATCTACAATTCGCAAACCTTGCCAGTGGTCAGCCGTCCAATGCACTCTTTATTGCAATTGATTTCTACAACGATTTGTAGCACCTGAATTCTCCATACATTCGAAGTGGGAAAAAATAATCTAGTAATCTACAGAATCATAAATTCGCTCACCTTGTCTATTTTGGGACAATGCATTCACCGATCGGGTACATCTATGAGAGTCTTACCCGGAGTTGGCCCTCTCATCTATAAGAGAACACCGTCACTGACAACACTTTTATCACATTCGTACTTTTGCATAAGTTAATAACATACGGACAGGTTGAAAGCAAATGGCTTTGAGCAAACAAGTATCATCTATTCTGAGAGATAAACTACAGGATTACAACTTGTAGCCATTGGAGCGCGTTTTTTCCTTAGAAAACGGGGCTGATGAAGCTATTTTTGGCTCTAGCAATGGGGAGAGGAGGAGGTTTGAAACCAAAATTACAGTATATACTAACATTTACATGAAAATTTTGAAAAAATTTTGTGGACTGGGAGTTTTGACATTCTCAGGTTGTCATTAGGTGATCAAATGACTACGTGCCCAACTTAATTTGGAAATAAGTTGGGCACGCTCTTCATTTACACAATTTTTTCATAATTTTTCAAACTTTGTTACTTAGTCCTACTGCGCATATACACATCAAATCTCGCGCGACTTCGTCATCTTTGCGTTGCAATTGAGCCATTTTCCATTTCCTTGGTTGTGGGAAATTTTCAAAGAAAAGTTCGCCACAACCTTCAGTCGCAGAATTTTTCATTGAAACTTCTTAGTTAAGCCCTGCAGACCCGTATGCATGTACGTACCAAGTTTCATACCATATTGTGATCTGTGCGTTGCAGACGAGTCATTTCAATTCCCATCTTCACTCACCAGTCATGCACAATTTTCGGAATAAATGCTAATTACTCCTCCTGTTTACATAAGTTTTTCATACTTTTTCATACTTTGTATCCACTAGCATCTCTCCGTGCGCTTACAAAATTTGGTGCCATACCGTTACGCGTACATTGAGAACTAGTCATGTATGCTATTACTAGCTTCGTTTGAGCGACGTCGCGCGTGCGGCAATTAGCGACGGCGCGGTTTGACGCGCGCGAACTCCAGTGTCGCCTGTTAAAGCACATAACATGTTAAGATACGCAGAGTAACGGCAGCGGGCTCAGCTCTGCCATCATAACTCACTTTTTTCCGGGGCTCCCCTCCAGACGCCGCAAAAACGATTTCCCCTTTGCATTTTTTTTGCTGAAAACGATTTCTAGCTTGTCATTTGCCAACCTCGTGCCGGACCCTATTGCTATCATAGGCTTTGTTCGGAAAAAGCCCTTTTAGACTTTTTCATCAACTAAGATTGATACGAGTAGTTGGACATATCTTGTACTCACACTTGATCTTAGAGGCAGTGTTCACCCAAAATTTCGCCTCCTATGTCTTTGCCACTAAGGGGCTTTTCTGTAAGCGTGATTACAGTCAAAGCTAATTGTCTAAAATCCCAAAAATCCAATTTCTGGGGACCTTGTCTGATCAGCGCGGACGAATCTCAGACTGTTCACCCTCGTCGGCATACCTGCGGGAGGAGCTGCAACTGCATGGTTGCGATTAGAGCAGTCTGCACATTCACTACTATTAGGCCATTCGGAAAGTTTTTTTTTCGCTTTTTGAGCATTCGAAGTTTGTGCAATTTCTTAACTTGGTCAAACTTGTCAGAAGTGATACGTATATCATTAGATAGGGTATGATCTCTACTTTCTGTCCATACCCAGCACTCTTCATCTACCGCCGTCTGTCGAAGTTTCTACTCAAGCAAAGAAGGCATGGTAAGGCGAGATTTTCGACTCATCGCACTTTATGAGTTCAAACTAGGACATAAGCAGCCACCGCAGCAGCCAACATGCGCAATGCATTTGGCGAAGTTGCACCCACTCCAAGAACAGTGCAAATTTGGTTCAGCCGTTTCAAAGTGGAGAGCTGATCGTTGATACGAAAGCCTCGATGCGGACGTCCATCCTGCACTATAAACGATCAGCTACTGGAAGCCATTGATTGATGAAGACCTTAGGTTTAGCTGTGCTACATTATCAGCAGGCCTGGGGTATCTGCTAGCACCGTTTGGAGCCACCTCCGTGAAAATGGCAAAGTTAAAAAACTCGACAAGTGGATCCCTCACGAGCTGACGGAGTCGCAAATGAGAGTGCGCCGCGAGGTCTGCCCTTCCCTGATTCAACGTTATGAAGGCGATCCTTTTCTGGATAAATTCGTCACTTGTGACGAAAAATGGATCATGTATGACAACAGGAAGAGATCTTCACAGTGGTTGACTGCGAATGAGCCACCAAGAACTTGGCCAAAAGCAGACAAACACTCTAAGAAGGTTATGATTTCAGTATGATGGAATAGCGCAGGCCTGTTGCACTACGGCTTCCTGAAACCTGGTTGCACGGTGACAGCGGAGTCGTACAGTAGGGATCTGGAGAGGGTACATCAAAAGCTGCAACTTGAGCGACTCGCGCTGGTAAATCGGAAAAGAGCTATCCTTCTCCACGATAACGCAAAACCACATGTGGCGAAATGACCCACGAAAAACTATAGCAGCTGGGTATTGAACTTCTACCTCATCCGCCTTACTCCGTGAATCTTTCACCTACGGATTACCACTTCTTCAGATCCCTCGAGTCTTTCCTGAATGGACAGCGATTCAGCGAAGAGAAGGATGTTGAAACGGCCTTTCGAAGATTTGTCGGCTCTCTGGATACCGCTTTCTTCAAAAAAGAAATAAACGCACTGGTGGGACGCAAAGATGATTGCACACAATGGTGCTTATTTTGAATGAAAAGGTTGGTTCTGAATAAAGTTGAAAAAAGTTGTGATTGTTCAAATTTTTGGGTGCAAAAGCGAAAAAACTTTCCGAATGATCTAATATTTCAATACTTGTCGGGAGGCAGTTCTGGGTTGGGCGGATCTTAATAGGTTCTGGACATCGTTTGATAGCATTTGCGCTCTCTCCAGGTCCATTATCTCCTTTTAAAGACAACATTAGAAAACGGATCAACCTCGTGGCCTACATTCGGATAGGAGGACCCTTTCTTGGGGCCTACATTCAGATACGGCACAAATCAGAATGGATTAGATTCAGCCTGGGCACTGCTGTCAGGTCTTAATCGTTAAGATGTTGATTTCAACAAACGTGATTCTATGCCACTTTATTCTTCAATCATTATACGCAGTAGCCACATGTTTTTGGACACTGTTCTCTCATTAACTGTGCATAAAACGCACTAGTGCATAGCGCACGATTTCGTGGACAGTCTGACACCCCAGTTTTTGGATGGACGAAGTCTCGGCAATCTGAAACAGAGTCAAAATCTTGCACTGTGCCTCAAAATGCAAAAGGCTTTCTCACTTGTTGATCCTCCCGTGGAAGTACCTGGACACTTATTGCAAGTTCGTGGACATTGCTCCGCCATAACCTGCCTGTACGCGGCATTTTCGCAAAGATGTGCCCTTTGTGGGCAGTCCGAAACACCCGTTACTGGATGAACGAAATCTCGGCATGCTGAATTCAATCATGATCTAATATTTATAAGAGAAGATATACACAAAAATTTAGAGAAAACCCACTGGATGTAGGAGCAGCCGTCACACTGGTTACCTGAATATGCAAAACAAAATATTTAGGTGTCATTATAAGGCTCGTAGGCATATACGTTCCCGCGAGGGAGGAGAGCGAATCTGAGATCCGCGGGGACGCGCCATATCTCGTTACTCTAGGTATCCGCATTATTGTTTTTCTACCTGTCTTATAAGGTTCATTCTAAACCCTCCTAATATCTGATGTGAGTATAAGGGATGACAAAATTTTGCCATACGAAACAAGTTTTTCACTGGTTCGTGTAGTCTCTTACAAGGGAAAGTTCCCAAGTCAGCTCGGCCAACCCGGATGAGTCATACATCACCGTAACGGGCTTTAAACACTGTTTCCAAATCTGCTCTCCTTTTGTGCGGAGCAATTTTCCTGGAGAAGTTATGAGCGTTTAAATGTCTAAATTTGTCATGTTCAAAGTGACTTAAAATCATTTAAAAGCTGTAAAACGACACCTAACGGAATTTCATTATCTGTGTTCCGTCCTTGTAATCAATATACTTGATACAAAACTGATAAATCGCTTTCATGTGCTATAGTACAGTTCTCGCAAATTTTGAGCCACTTAGAACATGACAAATTTAGACTTTTGAACGCTCATAACTTCTCTCGGAAAGCCGCTCCGCAGAAAAGGAAAGCAGATTTGGAAACAGTGTTTAAAGCCCGTTACGGTGATGTATGACTCATCCGGGTTGGCAGAGCTGACTTGGGAACTCTCCCTCGTTAGTGGATCCTTAGGGGATCACGTAAAATCAACGTTGTAAAAACGTCCATCTTTCCAGGAAGTCGATGACCACGTCTTGAAGTTGCCGAGTATCTACTATAGCACTGCTAGGGATGTTTTAAAAATGGATTATGCCAGTAGCGATTTTCTCAATGAATCTCAGCTAAGGAGCAGCGGTTCATCGAAAGTTTCGATATTATGAGAAATCGCCATTCCATGATAAGCATATATAGAAGTGCCATAGTATATTTTTGGTACAATCTGGGATCTCCAGGGAATCACACGAAAGAGCCGAAACCTCAGTTTGTATGGCATTGTCATGTATTAGGATATAAGAACCATCATGACACAGAAAGAAAAAGAAGTTTACAGATTTCTAGAATAGCGGATTGTGACGCGTCTCCTCTCAGATCCCTCCTTCCTCAGCGGGGCACGTGCGTAAGGGCCTGAGCGGATCTTTTTGGCATTGTGCTAGTGTAACCAAATGTAAATCACGTTAAGATGGCAAAAGGCGGCTCATGAGTAAGTAAAAGTCTATGGTCCACTATCTATTATACGTATCATACACATGACCCTAGCTTACTTTTGTAGAATCACAGCACATTTCTCCTTTCGGTGACTGTATGCAGGTCTGCCCGGTAGGACATGCGCCCATAATGCAAGCTGAAAATAAAAACCAATAATCTGCGAGTAACGAAACTTCTGAGAAATCTATGCCCTTTTTGGTAGCCTTAATCTACACTAAAACTTATTGTTGTCCTAGCAATTACATTTACATTTACTGAAAAGCGTTCTGAATGAGCATAGAAATATTTTGTAAAATTTTCGGAAGTAGAATAAAAGACATTTTTGTTACTGGTAAAAGTCGAACTTTGCTCGTATCTGCACATTCCTGTTCTCATGGAATTCATTTTATCCCAACAACTCTTCTCATACATCGGTGGTAGATTGTGAAAACACAAATTTCATTGGATGGTCGCCCAGCTACGGTTCTATATCAATCACTAAATTTCCAATTAAGCGACAAGGCTATTTCACATCTACGTGTTTTACATCGCGTTGACCTTACAGACAATCCTTTTGCGGAAAGAGACTCACGGTTGGATGTCGGGTTTGCATTTGGATCTGCACATTCCTGCTGCTGAGCTGCAGCTCTGTAAAAAGCGAGTGCTATCATAACAACGGAGAGGATTGCCATGGGATGTAGGTGACAGTCACCTTGTCCTCGGCTTTAAATAATGATGCATTCGATTTGCAGCTATGTCAACTCTGGATTTGAATTTGGAATTCGGACTTCAGGGTTTTGCTGCAGTTTCACATGAAAAAAACACGAGGAGATTACTAAATGAAGACTAAAAATAATTATAGCGAAAAGAGACACATGTAATTGACTTTGTTGTGAATTCGACACAACTAAGAAATTCTACTTTATACGTGACATGTTGACCAGGGAGAGTTATTGGATAATCTTCTTATTTTTCTGTTGACAGTCACAATATCCTTCAAAAAACTCTGACTTTACTAACAGTTCGTAAATAATTATATATTAGGTCGTTCCGAGAGTAATGTCGCTTTTTTCAAATCAACGCCACATTTCATGGAATCAAGATTTTCAAGAGATCTTAGGAGCATTTGACGCAGCATTTCATTCTCTTTCGAATGCTTTTAAATTCATTGCATAATATTCAGAGTTCTCGAAAAATTACCAAAATTTGCGACTCATGACTTTTGCCATGGTCAAGTTCGGCTATTTTTCTAAACTTTTATACTTATTCTCCGAAAAAGTAGAAGTGACAGGTGGTTAGAGCAAATCCTATAGGACACGGGATGATTTTTTCTTTCCCTTAGCTTGCTTCGACACAGAAACAAAGCAAAGCACCAAATTTGGGGGGGGGGGCTGCCCAACCTTGACAAATGCAATTCAGGTTAGAAGATTGTTTGAAAAAATCCTTAAGGAGACAATTTCAGAATGATTACTGCCGTAGCGACTGGCCGCTGCGACAACAAAGGGAGTTACAAGATCTCTCATTGCGATAGCACCAACAGCGGATCCATGATGCACGATGTTGGATAGGTGATCCAAAACTTTATAATCTTCCTATCACGGTTTTTATGCCTTCTGTTCTCTAGTTGATAATCTAATAAGCGCTTTGCTAACAAGCCCAAAGTTTGAATTGTACTCGGTAGGCTGAGCAAAAGCAGTAATAACAATGCTTTCATCTATTTTTATTTCTTTAAAAATTTACATCGAAGTATTGATAGCAAAAGAAATGAAATGGTAAGTCTATCGACAGACGCCACATGTGCGAGGGCACTGCTGTCTCATAAGCGGCTTATAGATGGGATTGTTGCAATAATAAGCAAGCGAAGGGCATTCGTATCTTCCAGTAGGACTGAGTCGGTCAGCGCAGGCTGAAAAAACGTAAATTTAAGTTGTTCAAACAAATTGTCTGATTACTTGTTACAGCCGGTGAGAAGATGATGTTTCCACTGCCGTCACAACGGCCACATGTTTTCGGGCATTGAATAGTCATAACAAGGTTGTAATTGGAATCAGAACACAAATGTGCCAGATGGGCACATTCATACTCTCCCGTTCTTGGATTTGGTTGATCGACGCACGGTACTAAAATATTGCTTTTTGTTGTAGCAGAGGGCTTTCTAATCATTGAACATGAAAAATACGGCGTTGGAACATCTACTTTGATGCAAAACTGTGAAAGCAGGTGGCTCAAAGAAATCTTAAAGTTTGTCTATACTGGAAGTACGTTAACGGAGACGCAGCGTTTCTACGAGCGGGATAGTTCACTCATGAGAGGACTCATCATTCCGCCCCTTCTATACAACAACTGTTCCTCCTCAATTCTATAAATGACAAATCCTTCCCCTCCCCCTCTCCCCTCCCCCCAAGTGCATTCATCTTCGGCATACTCACTTACCCTATGATTCAACTGGCTTGGCTGCTGGAAGGCGGAACTTCGTAACTTAACTAATGCTAGGTGATGATCAGAGAGCGCACGCGCGGAAGTGACGCAGACTGCCTAGCGGGAGCGAGCGGCCCTTAGGCCGCAAAACCCCCCAAGCCAGTTGTATCAAAGGCTAGCTCCTTCTCTGCCTCTGCAAAGTCCAAGCCAAATTGAAATTGGCAAAAATTGTTGATAGGACCGATAAAAGTATTGAGTATTCTTGCAACGGTTATATTCGTAATTAGCATGCTCGCCTACCCAAAGTCAACATTCATCCCCGTAGTTTAAAGTTTGGAAAAAAATAAAAAATTGATGTCGATAAAAAGAAAATTAGCCTAAGACATTTGCCTCGGTTGGAAGTGTGTTTGTGCAATGTTTGGCTTGGATCGGTTTAGAAGCAAAAATTTCTACTCGGAACATAAGCACACTCATATGACTAGTGGCGGACCCAGAGGGGAAGGGGTGGAGGGACATCACTTTCGCCTCCAACCGGGAATGGGTAGCAAAATTTCTGAAAAATTGTGCACGTGACATGTTCGCACTTTTGAATCAAAATGTTGTTCAAAACTTTAATCAAAATTAGCTTTGTAAGAGAATTTTTAGAGGCATGGCTGCCGTTGCGCTCCTTTTTTCTACAGGGTGTCCCAAAAAAATGTGATCACTGTTTGATCGTTAATACCTTGCTTTCATGTCTTTCGCCGAACTTGAGGCACCATTTTGCAGAGCGAGGTTCAACTTAGATTTATAGTATGGAGCGAATCACCGATCTCTCATTATTACAGTAGGATTACGGTAAGAACTTCTAGCATGTGGATCCACTGTGAAATATGCCATTTAATAAAATTTTTTTCAAAAAATCTGAGAAGTCGTGTACTAGGGTGTTGTGCAACCGCACAAGAAGCCAGCGTTTGAGAAGAATGAACAAATATGTTGATCTGTTGTTTATGATATGTGATATAGTTGTGTGTACTATATATAGGCATTCTTTAGTAAGTATAGTTCATTCTTAGTTCCTTGTCGTCAAGTAAAAGACTCGGTCTCCAGTCGTCTTTCTACACACGCCATGGCAAACACAACAACTGGCGATCAGAACCCGAACCCGAGCCCGAACCCGACCCCCAACATGGACCCAACCCACCTTCTGATGCTGCAAATTATGGAGCTGCGGAAAGAAGTAAAGAAAGTACAAGGATCCAGCGAGGATTACGTGATGAATGCACTCGCTACTCGTCTACCAGAATTCGATCAGAACCCGAACCCGAGCCCGAACACGGACACGATCCACTTTCTAATGAAGCAAATCATGAAATTGTGGAAATCTTGTCGAAAACCCATGGCTGAACTGACGAAGCAAGAATCCAACGAAGAGTACAAAGACTACTTGGAACTGCAGAATCACATACAGATGATCGACAAAGCCAAGGTTCCTGAGGTCAGCGTGAATCAGATGAATGAGACCCCGCAAGTCAACGCGATGCAGCGAGACGAGAAGCGGAAGCCATTTATCGGTCACAAGCCCAGAACACACCTTTGTATGAACTGCGGAGCGAAGACCCATAGGACCAGGAAGTGCGAGAAGCCGATCACTGAATGCAACTACTGAAAGAAGCGTGGACATCTAGAGAGGTACTGTCTACGTAAACTATTTGTCGATGAAGCCAAGGACGTCCATGCTGTCGTCATCTCACCGCCTAAAGAAACGAAGTCGTACTGCAATGTGAAAACCAACAACACAAGTATCGAGTTACGACTTGACTGTGGAGTTAAAGATCGCGACACATGGATCAAGACTGGCCGACACAAACTAAAGAACCCAGAACATAATTCGACTGCTGCTAATGGGACCAGCATTACATGCCATGGACACGGCACATATGAGCATGCGCTAAATGGCATCGCCTTGAATGGTACCACAAATTTACTTGATGGACCAGCTCTACTTGAAGTGCATTGGAACCAGTGCGACTGTGCCTTTCACATTAATATCGGCTGTCAGAATTTGAATGCAGTGACCGCTACAAACGATACACTCGACAAGAAGCAAACTCACCTGACAACACAGTTCGCAGAAGTGTTTCAACCCAAAACAGAAGACGGCACGAAAGCAACGGCTGCCTTTGCGCTCGAAAAAGAGGATGAAAGCAAAATATTCGGCAAAACTCATTCAAAGTCCACTCAATATGGAAATGTGGAGGTACCTGTTTTTTATGATATTACTCAATTCAGGAGAGCCGAATTTCGCGATTCTGGAAAAACCCGACAAGTTCGACATACTCGTCATCAGCAGTTCAATGAAGAGCCCGAAAGAATCGTCGACAACTTCCAGTGCCTGATATTCAAGCTGAAAAGGGAGGAGACGTCAGCCGCAATGCAAAAGTTCCCGATGCACTGTCGCGATATATCAAGTCCAATTTTGGATGACTTCTCTTTTGGTGAGATGTTCACTAAATATGAAGTTCACATCGCTCCAGGTCCACTGTACTCGGCTGACGAGAAACATAGTGTGCGACGTAAGAAGATGAAATATCAACTCAGTCCTCAGCGCGGGAAAGACCCACCGTTTCACTTAGAAGGGGAGGTGTTGTGCAACCGCACAAGAAGCCAGCGTTTGAGAAGAATGAACAAATATGTTGATCTGTTGTTTATGATATGTGATATAGTTGTGTGTACTATTTATAGGCATTCTTTAGTAAGTATAGTTCATTCTTAGTTCCTTGTCGTCAAGTAAAAGACTCGGTCTCCAGTCGTCTTTCTACACACGCCATGGCAAACACAACAACTTTTTTTCGCACGCTGCTTCTACCAAATTATTACGAGCTTTCTTAGCTTTTTTGACGGTGTAATCATACTCCTGACAAGTGCTGGGAATTCAGTTATTACGATTTACCTGGATAACCTTGGAAAGAAGCATCCTAGTAAAGTGGAAATTTCATATTCGCAAACAGCGGCTTCCATTACCATAGCATAAGAGTTTTTGGCCTGTTTGGTTTTGTTCCGAATCAGAATATGGCCTCTAATGACCTTAAATCCTTGTCGAAGTTCTCAACGTAATCCTACAATAACGAAGAGTGATCGATGATTCACTCCATACTGTAGGTCTAAGCTGAACCTCGCTCTACAGAATGGTGCCTCAAGCTCGACGAAAGACATGAAAGCAAGGGAGTTATCGACGATCAAACAGTGTTCACATTTTTTGGGACACCCTGTATAATTGTTGGGGTTCTACCTGCAAAAAATTTGAAACACATCCCGAACATTTTCCGAAGAGCTTAGAATATATACATAAAAGTAGAAATAAAGTGGAAAAAGTAGAAAAGAAAAGGAGATACCAGGAGCTGCAGTAATGGGAGGCAGAGTGACTGGAGCCGCAGTACTAAGAGACACTGTGGCGGGAGCCGATGTACTTGCAGTTGTCGATCCACTTACTGTTGTCGATGCAAGTGTAGTGGGCGCTTGCGTTGGGCTAATCTGTAAGTAGGAACATTTGTTACAACTAAACTCTAGACTATTGCGCAGTGGGTCGCATGCATTTTCGAGATTTCACAAAAATGCATCAGCGCATTAAAGGCAGTGTCTCACCAAAGTTGAGGTCGCGCGGATCTTCACATCCTATATATAAAGCTGAATGTCTGTTTGTATGTCTGTATGTCTGTCTGTATGTACGTATGTTTCAAATAGAAAATTCCATTTCCGAACCGATCCGGACCAAACTTGGCACACATACACTCCGGCGGGTGTCATAGGCTACTTTTCGTCATCGATCGATATCGATTTTATCGATTTTTATCGATTTCTTTGCAGTCATCTACGGGGCTGGGATTTGGTACAGAGGGGTAATCGAGCATGCTGATTACGAGTTCGATATTAGTTTGGCGCTATTCGGCTATCCGGCCCCAAATTTTTTTTGTGGTAGATCTTGCTCAAACTTCGTGTATAAGGCCTAAGGCATACCTCGCGCGATTCCGGTCGCTGGGCGATTTGGCATAACAACGACTCTATGTAATTCGTCGTTAAAGCGCTACTTTTGGTCAGGACTAGACCCATTTGCCAAAACTTACACAAGCTACCCGCCTATGCGTTCCAGAAGCGCACACAATAAATCTGTAGAAATCTGGCAAATTGCCAAGTCGCTTGAAATCGGCGATTTGGCCGAATCGCGTCAGGTATGCCTTAGGCCTAAGGATTATCTTAAGGGCCGGGCATACTTCAAGCGATTTCAATCGCGACGCGATTTGGCAATATTCCAGGTGTCCATAACTCATTGTAAGCACATTATAAATGTACAGAAGATAGGGCATTTTATCAGTTTACGTAAGTTATACACATTATGCATGTGCAGTTTGCTAATGTTGGATCCGAAGACTTCTGGCGAATTGCCAATTTGCGTCGCAACTGAAATCGCGTGAAGTATGCCCAACCCTTTACATGTTGATTACAGACATCACACTTTCTCCGCAGAACGTCTTCCGTGTGGTTACGATAGGTGTACGTTAGGAAGTCAAAACCATTAAAGGCAGCGTCCAGGCAGATCTCGACCTATGGGGCTTTTACGTGGAAAGTACTTTTGGGGCCCTAACTAAGGCGCTGCCCAAGCGGCAGCTCATGTAGTGCTCTAATGGCTGAGATATTCCCCTCGAAACTGGCCCCCGCGAACGTATTCGCATGGATATGGCAGTTTCGCGCCAGGGTCCACGCTTTGGTCCATGAATCAATGCGAAACACGGTCGCGGGGTCCAGTTTCGAGGGGAATATCTCAGCCGTTAGGGCACTGCCTGAGCTGCCGGCTGGGCAGTGGCTTAGTTAGGGCTCCAAAAGTACTTTCCACGTAAAATCCCCCTAGGTCCAGACTTGCCTGGACGCTGCCTTTAATTCGGCTGAAGTTCGGTCCATATGGCTTATTCGACATGCTAATTACGAATGTCATCTCTCTCTGCATAAAGGGACCTTTTCATAGAGTTGTGGTGGTTATATGGCATGGGGTCGAAAACATAGATTTGCTTTAAACTTTGTCTAGAGTGGTCATTTAGCGCACTGTACATGAATATCATGCTGATTTCGCAGGATAGTGCATTTTCTTGGGTTACGGTGGGTATAGATGGGTCGAAGTTCCAGATTTGTTCAAAACCGTACCTGTAACTGTTCACAAGTATATCGCTTATGAATATGATGTTTGCTCGCTGTCATAACGCAATAGTGAAGTTATGGTGAGTTGCAGGGTTTGAATGGGCATATTTCGCTTTCGGGCCAATTTAGATCCCAGATATTCAAGAGATGGGGAAACGGTCGTTTTGCATGGCGCGGTCTCCAGCGCCATCCTGATAACTGTCTCAACGCGTAACGCACGCGGCAAATCTCCCTCCCCGTGTTCTTGCTTAGGCAAAAGCCGCCGAAGGGTGTATCGCGCGCGGCAGTGGTCTTATAAGGAAACTGATAACCTGTCCCACTGCGTAACGCATGCGGCAAATCTCCCTCCCCCTGTTTTTCTTGGGCATAAGCCGCCGAATGGTGTCTCGCGCGCGGCAATGATCCTAAAGGGAAAGCATTACGGTCGTGGGAAACTTTTATATCACACGAATTATCGCGGGGATTGAGCATGATATTCTTGAAACAGCACTTTAGGTAATTTTCTGCTAAGGTTAAAAGCAGGTTCATGATTTTTACCCGCTGCCATGTACCTACCGTAACTCTGCGAAAAGGTCTCAAAACGCAATGACAGTGTTTTAGACGTGGTCAGAACGTCGAATCTCTCTAGATCGAGTTTCAGCCAAAACTGAGATTTCGCTCCTCTGCAGTATACCTACCATAACCCAGTGAAATCGCCTCAAAATGCCGAAGAAGTATGATATTCGTAATCAGCATGTCAGTTAGTCCCTCTTAGAGTTTCAGCGAAATCCATGATTTTAGCTTCTTATATGTACCTAATGTAAGCCCAGAAAATAACGCTATGGCGCGAAATGACTACGGTGTTCGTCATCAGCGGCTTTAATAATCCCCATGTACCGACTTTGAGCAAGATCCATCCCAAAAACATTTTGGGGCCGGATAGCCGAATAGCGCCATCAGTTTTCAGAATTATCCTTACTTTTGCCGGTTTTATTGCTTTTTTTGCAAAGTTTGAGCTACGGGGCTGGGGATTGTTGAGGGAGGTAGGTGGGCATGCTAATTACTAACACAGCGGGAATAGGGAATTGCATGTAGAAGTGGGCACAATGAAAGGTTCTACAGGGATAGGGATAAAACCTTAATCATAGCATTGACAGGGCCGGGCGGAGGCGGGTAAGCCGGCTAGTATTCTATTATAAGGACTTCTAAATAGGCCACTGCAACAGGTCCCACTTAATTTGACCCTCTCCATGCTGAGAAAAATTCGCTCAAAGTGGTACGCGAAGAGCAATTTGGTACGCGCGGACGACTCCTTCGGTCTCCCCTCTTACGCGTTTGAACATGTCCCTCCACTTGGCATCCACCTCCCCTCTGTTGCTGCCACTGTGGCTGAGCCTGAAGCTGGAAGGTACAACTCGTCCACTTTGCTTCCGCGGGGCCTCCCGAAAACGGTGGGAACTTCGTGCGATTTTAAGCCCATACAGTGCTAGAAGGGTCCGACAGGTTTGCAAAATGCAAAAATCTCGGCAACTAAATTTTGGTGAAACAGTACCTTTAGGGTCCCGTACGCACGTACATCCCCGCTGAGGAAGGGTACGGGATCTGAGAAGGGACGCGTCATATCTCGCCACCTTAGATAACTTTCTTCTTCTTTCCCTATCTGGGTTATGGAGCTTCTGGTACCCTGATACCTGCGCATAATGGAAGCCTGGTTACTGTCATACAAGGCCAGATTTAACTAGTTTGTGTGATACCCTGGAAATCCACACAGGATCACCTCTCATTTTCAAAGTCATTTACCTTCCTTAAACTTAGTGAAAATGCTATAAAATCGTGCTGGGAACATAATACGGCACTGCCAAACATGTCTGTAGCAGAAGCAGATATAAGTGAAATCTTAGGATACCGAAATCTTCATTGACCCACTGCTCGCAAGCTAGGTTATTGAGAAACCAGTGAGTCACCTCCGCTTCGCGGAGGTTCGCACTGGCTCTGCTTTCCGTGTGCCTTATTCATGCTCCCAAAATGATGACTTTGAAATTCACGGCACGAGGCTGTACATTATAAATGAATTGTAAACAACTGTTTATTCTTGAAGCATTCTATGTAAGATCGGTAATTTCGAGAAAGAAAACTTTTTTGCCAGAAAATAAATGCGATTTCGAACAGATGATTGAATTTGTTTTAGCTTTATAATTGTTATAAAGGTAATATTCATTTTGGGCTACAGTTCCGTGCAAAAATCTTTTCAGATTTTGAGATGAACCTTTGCCAAATCGACTCTCTACGCGACCACTACTTTTTGGCGCTGTCTTTGCAGAAAAGCAAACTTTTTGAGTACTTCTTAAGCTCGAATTCTTGGAGCGCAGATTTGCTTGTCAGGCAAATCAGATTTTGCAAAAAGTTGAATTTGCGACCTAGTTTTGCGTGCCAAAAGCCAGGTGGACCCGTTTGAGGCGCAAATTTTGAAAGACCTGCTTATCGAACGGCTCGTCCTTGTGCATGGTGGGCCTACACGCTGGTACGGTATGCTATGAGCCTATGCATGTGCTTGTAAACGCTGGTGTCTTACGCACAATTTATGCGTTGTAAAGTCAAACTGCTTTCGCCTGTTCAAAGGACTGACACGGGTGGCCAGTGCGTTGGAAGTCCTGCTTTCCTCCTCCGTTAAGTTACCAATGAAACTCACCGAGCATCACAAATGAAATGGGGAAAGCTTTTCATTTCAGATGCACTGTCGTAAGTAACCGGTAATTTTGTATGAAAGGGTTCTTTCGAACGGAGAACGAATATTTTTTCAGAATGAATACTAAACTTTTGAAAACTCAATAGTTGCTATTATAAAAACTGATAATGTGAGCTACGTCTCTGAGCAAAAATCTTTTAATTTCGTCTAGTAGAACCTCTGGAAATCGAAGAAGTGAGCACCTGCCACGCTTTGGCGCCGTTTTCGCATGCGATTAAACTCTTCGTAGTTTTTTGAGTTGCTGGGAAAAATTTTGCGGGTTTATATTCTGAACACAATCATACTTAGCAAAAAGTTTGCATACTGAACTACTTTTGCGGCTAAATAGAAAAGTGGACCCGTTTGACGTGTGATTTTCAAAGGATCCACTGAAGGATCCGCTCAAGCTTTGGTATATTGGACTCTCATGTTGGTAACATGCGCTGTGCAAAATTTGGGCTTAAGATGTTGGCTGGCAACCGTTCCACGAATTTCGTGACAGACAGACAGACTTACACACACACATCCACACAAAAACACGTAAACATCCTTAGCCCGTTATTATAGGTTATGATTGACAATTGGCGAAGATAAAAGACTCTGAAAATGAGAGATGGTCCCCTGGCGGTCCCCTAGATCACATGAAATGGTAAAAATCTAATCTTAGACGGCAATAACCTGGCATCTATTAAGCACAGGTATCAGAATATGAGAGCCTTTATAAACCAGATAGAGAAAGAAAAGAAAGATATTTACAATAGTGAGATATGACGTGTCCCCTCTCAGATCCTCTCCCCCCGCGGGGATGTGCATGCTACGGGCCTAAATCCAAAAAAGGTTGTTAGCAGCGGGGGAAAAGGAGTGAGGTGGAAGAAAAAGTAAGGGTGCTGTCCACCCGCCCGTGTAAATCTCAAAACATTTGGAAATGGTATTGTGGTATAAATTGGTGCAAATGACCTGTCTGCTCTTTTAATTGACCAATACTTTGCACCATTACTTTTTCTACTTCACCAAACATGAATTTAGCAGTATGATAGAATCCTTCTCAGTGAAAGAGTAATAGCCCATTGTGTCCATTTTGAGGTTCGCTTTCTGGCATAAAACTCTGGAAAATTGATCAAATTAGGCTTACCTGACTTTCTTCACAGCACACCTCGCCTTCTGCTGTGTTTATACATCTCTCATTCGCTCCGGTACATGCACCGTTGATACATGCTAAAGTTCTGATGATCAATATCTTTTTGAAAATAAGTCAAATTAGGTACAGAAAAGAAGCTCGCTTACGTCCTACTCCACCGTTGAGACAAACTTCAAACTCTCCGGTTACGAACTGGAAGATTGTAATAAGTACAAAGGAGATCATAATAGTGAATGCCGATTCCGCATGAAGTGCTCAGACGGCGACGTTTTATACCAACTCATCCTACGATTCAATTGTTCACGAACATTGCAAATGATTGCACAAGCGCTTCTCTACAATCAAAAAAAATTATGGGTCTGCAAAAGGATGGATATTTTAGACAAAGAGCTGATGGCAAAATAGGCTTTCTAAAAAACTGCAAAAAGTTGTATCCATAACTTTTTATGAGCGTGTGCAAATGACTGCTTTGCTTTGTAATGCACGAAAACATCTCAGATCAGGCTAAAGTATGTATCTTCAGCTACCTATTGTACTTTATCGTTTGCGTTAACCGTATTAACAATTGACTTGAGAAACAAAGACAATTTGAAAAGAGAAGGTGTGCATGCTTCCGTTTTCTAGAAAGACAGAGTCCCTATATGCTACATTCAAATGGCTTGCTATGGCCGCCTTCATGTCTATATAATGGTCTTACAGTACTGCCGTCAGTTTTCTTCTACGAAGAGCAATGCGCTGTTACATAAATTTTCCGTAGGGTTTAAGACACGATCGTAGTCGAAAACGCTTTAACGAGCACGGCGATTCTGCAACATGCGCTTCCTAGACTGTACCTAATATATCCGCTTCTGTTGAGTGAGACGAATGCTTTGTACAGCGAGATTAAGTTGTTTGTCACAGTCACAGAGACTCTAAGGCCCGTATGCAGATACACCCCTGCGGGGAGCGGAGGGGATCTGAGAGGGGAGGCGCCATAACTTGCTACTCTGAATATCTTTCTTCCATCTTCTCTATCTTGCTTATAAAGGTCCTCATACCCTTATACCTGCGCATAATGGATGCCGGGTTACTGCTATACAAAATTAAATATTCACTATTTCTTCCGATAACCTGGGAATCCCCAGGGGATCACCTCACGTTTTCAAAGTCATTTATCTTCCTGGAAAATCAATGAACACGCTGCAAATTTATTTATATCTAAGATATACTACGATACTGCTGAGCATGTTTTCGACAGAAGAAATGGAATCGAACGATTTTGATTTTTTCGATAATCCCTGGCTCGCGAGCAGCGGTTCATCGAAGTTTTTGATATCTTGAGATTTCACTCATTTCTACCATAAATATGTTTAGCAGTGCTGTAGATATCCTCAGTACAATTTTAGAGCATTTTCATAGAGTTTTCAGGAAGATAAATAACTTCGAAATCCTGAGGTGATCCGATCCCCTGGGGATCCCCAGGGGATCGGAAGAAATAGTGAATATTTCATCTTGTATAGCAGTAACCTGGCATCCATTATGCGCAAATAGCAGCGTATGAGAACCTTCAAAAGTAAGACAGAGAAAGAAGAAGAAAGATACAGAGACTAGCGAGATATGACGCTTCCCCTCTCAGATCCCCTCCCCTCCCCGCGGGGATGTACGTGCATACGGGCCTAAATCTCGAACTAAAAGCATGTACTTCGATTGAAGTAGAAGTAAATTTTTTATCGTATAGCTGCATTTGCGGCAAAACTCCTCCCGCAGTCCCTCCTAGATATGTCATTGTCTACCACAAGCCTTAGTAAGTACAACCTCAGAATTCTGCTTCTGTTTGTGCTCTGATAATCGAGAAATACCAAGTTTAACACGGAACCCCGTAAATAGTGAGATTTCGGTATTTTTGGGTCATTTTGATTTCTCAATTTTGAGCCCCAGAAAAAATCTAGCGTATGTAGTTTGGGTGCTCCTTATGGTGTGTAATGAATCAAGTTAGAGGTTAGGAATTTTCTTAAAGGAGATCCGTTAAGGTGCCAGAAAAATTTCATTATTGATTCCAAATTTTACTTGAATCAGAATCACATCTTTGGTAGTCATTCTGTAGAGCTTGCTTTACTCTATCAAATGGTACCCCAAGTCTGCTAAAAAGACAAAAACAGTTTCATTTATTGCAAGAAGGAGTTCACTGTTGGGACAACCTTATAAAACAGCTAAAGGACGTCCGTGGTGATAAGCGCATTCGTGTGCATGTATTATATTACACAAACGATGGAGCCTTTGAGATCAAAAGCGATCCATTTGGCTCACGAGCCGGAAGAGCCAAGAGCTACGGAAGTGTTTCGGACCGCATCCCCCTCTATAACCCATATTGTATCTGTGCTTGGATATACTACGTCATTCGGTACTTAAATCACGTTTTTCTCATCCCACCTCTCCTTCATCTTCTGCAAGCATGCGTCAAACAGGTCACAAGCTCGTTCTTAGGCCAACTCAGCGTTTGTCAGTAAGTATCTTACACAGTGTTCCAAAATTATGTATACACCTTTTATCGTCAATATCTCTCTTCCCAAAAGGTCTTGTGCAAATGAGGTGAGTGTGGAGAAACCCGGAGATTTGACGGATGGGGTGAAAAGCGCAGCCTTAATGATTGAACTGAAAGCTCTTATAAACTTCAGAACAGTCTTAGAGCTTCGAGGCTTCGAAATGGATCTGTTACAAAAAATTGACAGTTTCAAACCCCTAGGATGGAATTGATAGCGAAAATAGCTCTGTTCAACCTTAGATGAAAGATCCTTAGCCTAACACTGAAGCTGCGTTTTTTCACCCCATACGTCAAATCTCCATGTCCCCCCAAACTCACCTCATTTGCATACCTTCGCGTCGGGGAAATCATGCTCTTTCGAAGGAGCCTACATGCTGGCTCTTAGCATGACTGGCGGCCGAGCTACAAGCCTGCAAACGGTGCAAGTCAGTGATGAGGTGCAGGTGGGGTCATGTGCGCGCACTGTCAAGAACATTTTCAGCAAAGAAACTCACCAGCACACGTTCGATGCATAAAGAATGGCAAGGGGCATCCATTTCATCCGAACAGCTTTGTTTGGATGTCCTGTGTAGGTTTTCATGTGAAGAAATTTGGTTTAAAAAGGAAATTAGAGGTTATTTTTTTGAAAAAAGCAAAATCAAATTTAAGCTTGGGTTATTTAGAAGTAGTCACTACTAGATTATTGTCAATGAGCTCTACAATATAGTGTGTTAACTTGTCCAAAAAGCTTCTGTTTTTGCTCCAAGAAAAGACCCAAAAGAAAATTTCTGCGTTTAAAGAATTATTGTCCGGACATTGTGACGCGGCCATTTTCGGACTTTTGTCTTAAAAAGACTTTCAAAATTTTTAGAATACATATTTTCTAGGAAGCGCACTGTATGGGTTGTAGCTCTTGAAGAGCTCTGTCACCTTATGCAATCCAATCATTTTTTCATCTTTGTTTTCCATCCGAAAATGAGCGATGGAAAAAGAGAGGTGGCTTGTCCGCAACTTTTTGGCGGTCACTGTAGATGTAAAGCATTTCACTCGCACTTATATATTGTTCAAGCCCGCATCGACGGGTCATGTACGGAGTCAACATAACATGCACAAATACCAGTGGAGAGCTTTGCTGTGAAAAAGGTCAGGTAACATGATTTCCGATGCACTGTGGAATACACCTGGTTTGTTGAAGGAAGTGATGATGTAGTAACGCAGTAGGAAATGACTTGATAACTCTATACAATGGAACAGAAAGTATTCAGCTCCCTAGGAACAATAATATCAATATTCGGCGACTGGTATCTATAGAGAATCCACCAGTCTATAGAGGATGCGGTACAGTTGCGTCGAAAGACTTTCTCCGATACTGCTGCACGACATAAACAATAGCCGCGTTCGTTTAGATATACGATACAAGCTACGATAGACGACAGCCAAGTGACAAGGTAGAGCTTGACTTAAATGAGAACAAAAGAGAAAACGAACAATCTCTCTTAATATAAAAGTTATATAGTTAGCATAAGCAACTACAGTTAGCATAAAGACATTTCTATTTACGGGAAATATGTATCGGTCACCGCAGTCTGCGATGCTATAACTGTTGCGTAATGGGGCAGTTTTGGGAAACTTTCTTCTTGTTTTACAAGACAAGAATCCCCAAGATTCAAAAGCGAAGCGAGACATCTTCACGTTTTGCTTCTCTGGTGACCTAGTATTTGAACCACCGGTGACAAAGCTGATTTTCGGAGAGTGGGGCGTAAGAGGGCTTTGCTTTTACAGTCAGTAAAATCTAAATGTTGCATCCTGTCAAACAAGGTATTTTTCTATCACAACAATTTTGGGCCAGAGCGCATTTGCGTTGTCAAACTTACCGCTCACCCGCTCAGACAGCGGATAGGACCCCTCCGCCGGAGAAATGGCAGGGTCGCGGCGTATCCCCAGCGGTGGGTCTCCCATTTGTCCGGCGGAGCCCTCCCATTTCTCCGGCGGAGACCTCCCATTTCTGCTCCGGATACCCCCCATTTTCTGCTCCGGAGACCTCCCATCTTCTGCTCCGGATACCCCCCATTTTCTGCTCCGGATACCCCCCATTTTCTGCTCCGGATACCTCCCATTTTCTGCTCCGGAGCCCCCCGATTTTGTGCGCCGGAGCCCCCCGATCGCGGCACACTGTAATTAGCCCTAATTAAAGGCAGCTTTCAGGCAGATCTGGACCTATGGGGCTTTTACATGGAAAGTATTTTTGGGGCCCTAACTAAGGCACTGCCGAAGCAGCAGTTCAGGTAGTGCTCTAATGGCGAAGATATTCCCCTCGAAACAGACCCCCCGCGAACGTATTCGCATGGATTCATGGCAGTTTCGCGCCAGGATCCGCGCTTTGCGCCATGAATCCATGCGAAACACGGTCGCGGGGTCCGGTTTCGAGCAGAATATCTCAGGCGTTAGAGCACTACTTGAGCTGCCGGTTGGGTAATGGCTTAGTTAGGGCCCCAAAAGTACTTTCCATGTAAAATACCCATAGGTCCAGACTTGCCTGGACGCTGCCTTTAAGCTCCAAACTCCAATTTTGTCTCTAAACCCCACCCAAATAAGCCGAATAGGACCCCCCCCCCGGGTAGGAGTTTAGCGCGACCCTCACCCCGTACTCTACCCCCTCCCTCTCACCCCTAGCGTTTGTGGATAGAAGATAGAAGAAAGAACGAAGAGATAAGACATTTATTTCAAATTTTTCAAACTTTCGAAAAATCTATCTATCTATCTCCAGCATACGTACAACAGTTAGATCATATTACAAAAACCATACTAGGAATTAGAGATAAGAATATTCAAAGAAAAGCTAATTTCCTAGTTGCAAAAAGAACCTTGTAACACCTCAGTACAAACAGATGGTTTTAACATGGTAAGAAAATGACAAAAAGATCAAAAAAGCATTCTGTGCAACATGAAACAAAACAGCGAGGAGCGCCATAAACTCACATTTGCAAAGCAGGGACATATTGTCCAAGTTCGATATATACATGAGCTATATTCATCCAAACATCTTCGAATTCCGAGGTAGCTTCACGAACTTGAGCGAAGATGTCACGGGCATCTTGCCACATTCTTTCGATGCTAATACGCAGCCTAAACCAAAACATACGGTTTTTGATCGAAAAAGAAGTAGCAAATTAGTCATTTGTTCCGATACGAAACGTACCTATTCCATTTGCTGCCCAGATGTTTTTTGGCTCAATTTTCAACGTCTCATGGACCCCATATCATTTTCAAAATCTCATGGACCCCATTTTGGGTGATCGGTGCCTTTGACCACAAATCACATCAGAATGCTAACTCACTTCACATGAACAATGGGTAGTTTCCACCGAACTACTCATGCTTTTTTGTCATAATCCTCCAGCCATGCTCGTTTGATCTTCTTCACGTCGACATCGCAAAACGATACAACGCGTTGTTTATCACTTTCGGAAAGGGACCTCGAAACTGACTCACCTTTGGGAATGTAAGAGCGCAGATTCCACCTCACTTGAAAAATCGCTTTCCTTGTTTGCCAGCATTCCAAATTGTGAATGTTTTCCAGAAAGGAAGCACATGACTGCAGAAGCGACTAACACGCATGTTCCATATAGCAGCTTCGGAAACACCAAAAGAAGCACATCCGGAGTGAACGATAGTTCACTAGGGGTTTACATACCTGAAGAGACGAAAGCAATATATATGCATTACGGATTTGCAAATAACGTACTTTAGAGAATGCAACATCATCGATGTCTAATGCACGGTAGAAAAAATCGAGATCTTCGGGAAACCCAAAGCGCACGTCGTCTTTGAAACCGCCTACCGCAGAAAAGAGTTTTCTTGAGATGAACCATGTAGGAGCTATAAGAGTGGGCCCATGCGACGTATACACCTAAAGTAGAAGCACATTCAGCACCGATGGGCAACAACAAGATTGTACGATCCGAGATTATACCTGCAATTTCAATTCTTCGTTTGTCAAATCATGGGTCCATTTAGTATAGCGTTCAGTGGATCCTTCCGGTATTCTGGTGAAGTTACTACCTACGCAATGGGCAAAGTGATACAGCTGTACAACATCTAACAAGAAAAAATAAATCAAGGTTGTAATGGGATAAACGGTTTTTATGCGAAATCTCAAGAATTTGCCGAGGTCACATATGAGATTGTGCTTATTAGAAGACCCTTATTCAAGACGAAGAAAGTTGAATTTGGACAAGCTCACCAATAAAAACCAAATCGCTCCTCTGAGAAATCGCCAAGTTGTACTGTTCCTGTAATCTGCTTGGCTCCGAAACATCATCCGCATCACAGAAAGAGATAAACCGTCCAGAAGACATTTTTACCGCTTGGTTCTTCGCAAAGCCGACACCTACCAAGATGAAAAGACTTGATGCGAAAGCCGTTTCGTCTACTATTACTATAAAAACGACAAAACTTGAGGTACCTCCACTTTCCGTGCCACTACGTATTCGAAAACCAACATTCCGTCCGTGAAACCTTGATATAAGTGATTCGGCATACGTTACAGTCGAGTCAGTGCTTCCATCGGCAGGCCCCATTTAAAACTGCACAGCCGGCTGCGCGAGCGGTCGCGTCGCGTATCCACTTTGTGTGCTTGGGTCACGCTTGTTCAGATCGCGCCCAGGAAGGAATATTTCACAGTCATTCAGAATAGAAGTCATTCAGAAACGATTTTTACTCCGAGTTTGATTTCCCAACTGCACCTGCACTGCTTTTTAGAATCACCTTTCAGCCTCTCGATTACTCAACCCGTGCAGGATTTTCGGTTTGTGGGTTAGGATGTGACGCTTCAATTCAGCTCAATCGGCAGGTGCACATAAGGCAAACCAAGTACGGAGAAGTGCCGAATCGGATGCGAAGTCTGGGTGAATGCGATGTCCAAGGGAATCAAGCCATTGGAAACTTTGACGTCTCAATAATTTTTCTACACTTCCGTATAAGCAAATGTTCACTGAAAGTTTTCAATTGCATTCACCTGGCCAACGGATCTGTTATATCTGAATTTGTCCTTCTTTGATTGAAGGATACTCGAGTATGCTTTGCACATTTAACTAACAAATTAGTGTATGTGCTTCATCTCCTCTTGAATCACTGCACTTGGAGTTCGAAAGACACAGTCATCAGCTGTCAGGCAACGTGTGACCGTATTTCTGTATTTGATTCACAGAGAAGATGATCACATATTCTAAGACTAAAAGACTCGGGCACGCTTTGCACATACTGTCTAAACAAGTTTGATTGTGTGATTAGCAACTTTACACTTGTGATCTATCTATTTGCTACTCTGAAGTAGGGAGGAACGAGTACCTACAAAAGCTTGTTGAGACAATATGTGCAGTGCTGTGAAGCGCGAATAAACCTCGGAAACCTCAAAACCTAAAACCCCAATTTACACCTCGGAACCGCGGGCGTTATAGTGCGTATTCGAGTCTCCTAGTTTCAGAACAGATTATGCTTATCTTTGAAACAAAACATGATACCAGCTTCAAGAATGTGCACGTCGTATCAAACTCAGCCTCAGAGCACGATGATCCCATCAAAAATAGCGTTCCAACAAAACAAGCAACGCTAATATGAATAGTGCTCTGAGACCAGAAGGAGCTTACTTGAGCAAAAATCAGCAGCAAAGGAGGAGCAAAAAACAATAACAAAAACCAAATATTCTTTTCCTTCTTTGCCTTTTGAGGTGTAAAAGATCATTAGCGATAACGTAAATCCAAAAGCAAACCTTAGGGCATGCCAAACATCCATTCTTGCTTTTTCAAACACGTTTTTCACTGGCACAGCTTAGCCTTAGTTGGGCAAATAACTTGTCAAAAGAAAGCAAGAACAGAAGAGCACACAGATGCGCCGTGGGGTTGGTCACAATCACTATTCGAACTTTCTTGCAGAAATGTATGAACCATTCTCAATCTTCAAGCCGATGACAGTGTCAGATAGGAGGACGCAGAACTCTTCTCGCTAATAGAGTGGATTTATGGAAGTATGCATGAAGTGGTTATGTGACATAAATGTCATTCTATCCTGCTATCTGACTCGAAAATGATGAGTCCCAGCAAGCGTGACCCAAGCACACAGAGTGGATGCGCGATGCGACCGCCCGCGCAGCCGATTGTGTAACAACACTAGATAGTTGCGCAACTAACCTCATTGTTTCGAAAATCCAGAATTAATCACAAAAACCACTCCATCAATAGTCTACGATGTTTCAGCAAGTCGGAAAGAGCCAAACACTGAAGGTGATTGAGTGCAACCGCACGAAAATTTCAAACATAAACCTGAAAACGAGGAACTTACAGCAACATAAACGCCAACGCGACGAAGAGCAACGCGGAAAAGGAAAAAACGGTAAAGAAACGCGCAAAAACAACAGAATCAAAGAAACGGCGACTAAAATATGGACAAAGAGCGTAAACAGAGGACTCATCACCGTGGAGTTAGACGTTTGCTTGCTACGCGCCAAATCGATACGCAGCCTGCTCCGGATACCTCCCATTTTCTGCTCCGGACACCTCCCATTTTCTGCTCCGGATACCTCCCATTTTCTGCTCCGGAGGCCTCCCATTTCTGCTCCGGACCCCTCCCATTTTCTCCGGCGCGGCTCTTCCAAATTTGGCGGACACGCGCCGCGCAGATTTCTGCGGCGCGGAGTCCGTCAAATCTGGCAGAGTCGCGCCGGAGAAATGGCGGACCTTTGCAGCAGGGCCGGAGAAGCCTCCCATTTGCCTGCCAGTGATGCCACCGCGATGGACCGCCCATTTGCCCTTCTCTCATTGGTCAGCTGGGTCCGGCGCGACTCTGGCAGTTTCCGAGGGTCCGGCGGAGGGGTCCCGTCGATTGTCTGAGCGGGGGTCTTATGTCCGAAAAGAAGTTTTTTGAAAAAAAAATTCAATCAAATCTCCGAGATTATTTCCACGAGGATTATCGAAGGCAGTGATTCCCAGAATATGATTCATTTCAAATTTTGGCATTACACGGTAAGGTTACGGTAGTCATTCTGTACGAACCTAAGATCCTGGATTTTCGTGAAAAAATGTGTTTTGTGGTTATTCAGTACGGTGAAATTTTCGTAAAAATCAAGAAATTGGTGGAAGAGGAAGTACTAGAGCTTGAGACTATTATTTTCGTAATCAGCGTGCTACAAAACCTATATGTGTAATGAGCTTTTTGGGATCAATAATGCAAAAAATCGAAAAAATCATTAATTTTTTGATGGGCTAGGCATCAGTCTCTTGCCTGCCCGCCGATTTCTCGTATCCGTACACTTGGATTTTGGAAAACAGTATATTCTGCGAAAAATGATCTAAAGTCTGCGCCTTATTTCTATATGCGATATGCCTACCGTAACATTAGCACAGTACTCCGAGCCCGGACCACTCTGCCTGAACTTTCGCATAGGCGTCCCCAATCGTGTGCCAAAACCCTGTAGAATCCCATAGTAAAATCTCAAAGCTAGGGCTTCGGAATCTTACGACTTACCGATGGGTCGTATTGCCCGAAATGGTAAAACACGTACGACCCACCGGTGACGTATTGTAGTGAATGTGTTAAGTGCAGTTTTTGGGTGACAGATGAAGCGAGAAGCACTCATCTTGCTTCCTCTATTTGAAATTAATATTGCCGCAAAGACTCGCTTTCTTTGGTCTAGTACAGAATTGCAATGCGTGGTTATCCTATCGTGCATCTTTCAGGTGGAACACAAACTCAGTGCAAGTTATCAAGTTATCATCTTGATTTGAATCATTTCACAATGTTACTTGACAATTTGAAAAAAAAATTTCAAAATTGAAGGGTGATGTGATATACCAGCTATCAGAATTTTTTGTTGAATTCTAGGTAATTCCGAGAATCATCACACAGGTCACTTGCCATCGACTATGATTGTTTTCCCCGATGAATCTTATAAGCTCTTGAAAAAAGACTTTTACGTGTTAACTAAAACAACTTACTTGCATGATCCTGTATACTTTTAAACCGCCTTCAAAGAGCCTTCCCCTTTTCCTTACTGCCGTCCCTGCTCCTTTATTGATCATTGGAAAAAGGAACCCAAAAATGTCGACATGAACATTTTTTTGACGGCCATAAGAGTTTCTATGTTACCAGGCAGTCATTATGGAGCATAAATTATTTTAGTGGCAACATTTGCGAACATCATTAAAGCTTCGGCGCCGACTGTCCATCTTTTAGACTACTGCAGCGGCTCCCCCCATCCAAGTCTTTGGTCTCTACATTCTTCACTAATATTATTCTCACCGTACTCAGACACTGGAGCGGACGAGCCGCGGCCCTTTCCCGGAATTTCGCAGCGTCCGCGGCCCTTTCCCGGAATTTCGCAGCGTCCGCTGCCCGGCCGGAGAATGGGCCGCGGCTCGGCCGGAAAACAGTTTCGGCTCGTCCGCTTTTGGGCCTCGACTCAGCCGGAGCTGGTTGTCGGGCTGTCTAGTTCATTCTAGCTCGGATACAGTAGAACTGTTTTTTAATCACTGGCACATAGAATATACATAGTAAAAAAACAAAAATTGGAGCCACCGATGTAGCGGCTTCGGAAACCAAGTCCGGCTTCAACATGGGCAATATAAGATGCTATCCAAGTTTGTACAACATATTGATCTTGTTTCCGCCTTGGAAACTGGAAAGACATCCAAGGCTATGGACACTGAGGGCAATCTGACCATGCGTCGTACATCATGCAAGTATTCTTTATGCTCAGATACTGGAAGCGGCCGAGCCGCGGATCTTAACTGACATGGGCCGGGCTCGGCCGGAGTTTCATCATAGAGGTTTTGGTCCGCGGCTCAGCCGCTGCAATGCTCCACCCACATCATTAAGGCCGCGGCTGAGCCGGTAAGCCATACTCAGTCCGCGGTTCGGCCGGTGCAATGATATTAACATGAATTGTGGGTCGCGGCTCGGCCACACTCCGGCCACGCCCACAAATTAAGGCCGCGGACGGGTCGGAAAGACCTTCTAAGGCCGCGGCTCGTCCGCTCCCAGTGTCTGAGTAGGGAGGTGACTATAACTCTGTTGTTTTCTCAAATTTTTTGAAATGTATGCCTGAATTTTCGCTACGTGTTGGAAGTGTATTCTCGAAGGGAATTTTGCAGTCCATGTGTTGATCTCGCTACTTTATGATAACAGCCGCTGATCACGTGGTCATGCACATACCTTCGATAGTCTAGAGACGGGGCCTCAAAAGTGAAGGTTGTTTGAACATCTGACGTCATAGATAGTGAAGGTTGTTTAGAGAAGAAGAAGAGAGTATGACGTAAAACACATATAAAAAGCGAAAGAAACTGCTGAAAACCGGATAAAAACGCTGCAAAGAGGTCTGAAATCTTTCATTTGGCGGCTTTTCGAAGTGCAAGTTTTCGCTCCAGGACTAGCAATTTGCAACACGGGGTTTTGATTTTTGATGCGCCCTTTAAAATTTTACCCCCGCAGTGACGTTCCTGTTTGCTGGGACGTTGTCTGGATTGTTGCGCTTATTGTTCTGAGCAATAATCGCCCAAGCTGGAAAAAAATCGATGCGAAAGCACTGAAACAGAACAAGGTAAAGAAAAACGCATTTTTTACGATTTTTCGCAAAAAAATTTCACAATAATCGAAAAGATAAAGGATGGGTGGTTGTCTGCATTATGAACAGAAGCAAGATCTATAGAATGCACGAAGAAACCGCGTGAAAATATTTAAACTAGGAGAAAAACAAGAGATTTTCGAAAACAAGGTTTTGCCGGATTTCTCGATCAAATCAAAAAATGTGGTTCTGGGACGTTGTCAGTGTGAAAATAGAGATCAAGAGCTTCAAAATGATATATAACTTGCTAAAATTGGGTTCGAAACAGCGAAGAAAAGGGTACCAGAGCCAAATGCCCCGCGCCCCGCGTTTAAGGTAGCGAGGTAGCGCGCAGCGCGCGGAGACGCAGACGAGCAGCGGAGACAGACCAGAGCCGACGGGGCATTTGGCTCTGGTCGTAGATCTCCGCGGGGTCTCAACGAAACCCTGCAACATTATATATCATTTTGATCGTCATGACACGACGAGGAGAACTGACAACATCCCAAGCTTTGAAAATCACTCTTTAACGAGATAGGCGAGCGTTTTCGTGCGCGACTCTCTGCGCAAGACTTAAGCGCAGTTTCTCGTTTTTATTTAACTCCAGTAGCTTTCCTAAACTTCTGAAACTCGATTTTGTTCAAATGAGAGGATAACTGAGAAATTTTGTCTTGAGTTCTGGCGAAAATTCCACAGAAGCCTTCTTTTTAAGGTAAAAAAGAAAAAAATTCGGAGAACGTAAATTCTCGGTTTCGTTGAGATAAGCTAAATATACTATCCCCTATATTTGCTTCATTAACATTCTTTCCGATATAGTCAGGATAATAACATCCGGGGCGAAGCCCCGGATGACTTCTTTTTTTCCAAATGAAGGTTGTGTCCCCCCACAGCCCTCAAAGTGAAGGTTACCAGAGTGCGTGGCTCTATGTATCGAAGGTATGGTCATGCATATTCAATGCCCAAAAACTTGTTGCCGATGCAATGCCAATGGAAGAGTCATCCCACTATCAGTAATGGTTTCGAAATTTAAGCAGTAACGGCGAATCCAAACTCGACTGAACAAGAAGCGAACTTGTGGATGGCTGCACTCGAGGCTTGCAGCAAACAGCTTCGTCGCCCAGTAAATTAATTCGTCAATTGTCAGCTTCTTTTGTTTAATTCTCCTCTGAGTGCTCACTACAATGAAGCAATAATAAAAATTTCTGCGTCTGCAAATAAGGTGGATCCAGTTTGCACTAGGTCATTCTCTATATATAAAGCAGAAAATTTGTGTGTTTGTGTCCTTGTGCACATTTGTCATTAGTCATGAAGGAGGAGCAATGAAGCTCATCTTGATCTGCTGGTTATCAAGATATGGTAAGAACGGTAGAAGCAACCCATAACGAGTCGCAATTGAAAGAAGGGTGAATTTTGCTACATGGGAGATTAAGTACGATGGACTGGCTCCGTACCGGGGTGGAACCAGGGATGCTAGCTCGTATTAGAATAAAGAAGATAACTTTATCTTTTAATTTCATTCCAATACAGAGTGCGCTGACAATTTCAAAATGTCTTCGACTTTCACTTATTGGTATAATCCATCTACAAAGCATTGATAAAAGAATGTTGTTCACATACTTGCGGACAGTGTTAGGATGATATGTTCCGCTCTTTTGTATTGATGGAAAGAAAGCTTCTGTAAATTGAGCATGCATACGGCATGCGATAAAGGTTGTTATATCAATAACCCAGCATTTCATATACTTTCATAGTCGCAATTCAATCGCACAGGCCGTTCATCAGGGTGTCTCGAATGTGTGTCGTTTTTCGCTCGGTGGTCTTCTGAAGACTACTGCCGGACGAAGGCGCAAAAACAATATTCCTTACGGTCGAGTGGATTTCCCCGTAAATATAGTGCGACTGCATAACCAGTAGCATTTGCGCGTGAACATTGCCGGAGAGCCAGAAGTTCGGGTGAATTTAGTGTTTTCTTTACTCATTCTTCATTCTTGAAGATGGCTTAATTGACTAGGATTAGAAGGTAAGTTAGAAAGCAGCTGTCGCAGATTTGAGCAGTCGTAACGCTGTTCATGTTCAGTATTACCTCCTAGTAGCTGCACCGCATTCAATGTTAGCGACGTAACCTTGTTTTTCATCTTTTTTCTACTAAAAAGCGCTTCTTCACAACGCTAGTCGCTGTACAGGTAGGGATGGAACCTTTGTTATAGTAATTTAGCAGAAGCCGGGTGAGCAAGCTAGTTTACTATAAGTTCACTCATCACATGAAATAGACGTGATACAATATTGATTTTAACTGAGCAAACACTGTTGGTGAGTATCCAGACTTTGAAGAAACCTACTAGCATGGTAAAGAAACATTTTTTGATAGAAAAGATGTGGGCAACAGGTATATGTCATAGACATTTCAGACGATGCAGCTTTTAGGGGGCACCTGAACTCGACTATGATATGACTGGTCAAAACAACAAAAGCTCTTTCTAGCTGTCTTTTGCTTCTCACCGAAACTACCTAAAAATGGAGAATGAGCAAAGAAGACACTGTAATTGTCTGAAATTTCTCGCTCTGCGACAATTTACCGAAAGATCTACTCGACTTTACATGGGCGCGAAGCCCGCGTATCTGCACCATGCGAACCGTGCTTCTCCACTCTCTGCGGCTAACAGAACCCATTCGCATTATTAGATTTTGCGCCTCCGTCCGGCAGTTAATCTTGAAAGCGCTTAACTGCTTAGGTTCAAAAATTTCATACTCTTTCAACTTTGTTCGAGTTCGAAATTCTGGAGTCCGCTGGCTGTTAAGGAACCATAGTGACTTCTTCTATCTCCCACTTCGTAAGCACTAGCGGATAAATCTAGCCTTTGAGCTCTGGATCAAGCGCGATCGACCTAATCACCTGAGCTGACCTGAACTGTACTTCAAAATCTTTTGCGCTTGTGAGCACAATTTGGGAAAAGCATTGTCTGTACGAGAAAGAGTCCTACACCTTGTTCTTAACTTCAACAGATCCCAGCATGTAGACACATCGAAAACATCCTTCAGGTAAGTGCAACAATGCTAATATCTGGCTCTCACCAAAGTAATTTGGAGTACCGCCTAATTGACAAATCAGGCTGTTTCCATTGATTGGCAACAACACATAGATCAAGAAGAATGTGTAGATAGGTGCAAGCAATGCTTTCAATTCATTTTGAGCTTATAGCGATAACGCAAAAAAAGCGAAGCATGTGCACAGCGCTAGGTCGATATCGGGTATGATGCTAGAGCCAAAAAGTGATTTTGAAAATGAGCAAGCTAACTACGAAAGGACACCAAGATGAAAGTCGATTTGTAGCATAAAATGGAGGGTGAAGATATCAAGACCGCAACACTGTTAGTATCCATACAGCAGTTTCTGACTATTGGTTATTAGTTACTTATTGGTTTGCCTTAACCTTTTGAATCCCATTCTTACTTCTTTTACAAGTCTGAGCAGCAGGTAGCGAGTTCTTACCCGACTGTTGTGTGACTGAGTATACTTATGGTAACTTCTGTTTTTTTATTTTTCAGTGGCGCATCTCGATCGCATAATATGAATACACGAATAGATTTGGTCACCGGCAAATCTGGAACGGTTTGAGATGACACAGTAGAAATTTTCGTGTAAGAGAGACGGTTTATTTGATACAGTGTCGATAAGAACCTAACAGGCCAGATATGCCGCTGTGACTACTGAGAAGTATTTAACAGTCTGCTGAACTCCAGTACCAAATATTTCAGACTTTTCGCGATCTGATAAGACATGAATGCTTGTCGATTTCATAACACTTCCAATTAAAATCGAATCTCATTGGCAATTTCTGCCGTGACATCATTGTTATTGCATACAGTTTTGTGATTTTCCAAATTTATAACACTGTCTAGAGTTCCTTGAGTATCACAAAAAGCTACAGCATTACGTCAAGTAAAGGGCGAAAAGTTCTAGCAATATCCACAAGTCCTTGGGCATTGCTGCTGCATCAAAGCTGCGTACGTACCCACACGGCAATAAGAAACCAATGCAGAACAATCTGATTTCCCTGTCGAGGCATTCACTTGGTCCACGCAAGCTGAAATGCTATCTATTTTGTAAACAAGATAATTGGGGGGCAAAAGTCAACTTACCAGAAGATGTGGCCGAAGAACTTGTACATCTACCGCAAGTTCTTGGGCATTGTGTGGTCATCAAGTCATAGTATAGGGAATTATCACAGTAAGATGCCATCTTTGTGCAGTCTGATGTTCCAGTGCTTGCGTTGATTTTGTCCACGCAAGCTAAATCATGATTTTCGCTGTTCAGAAAATGCTTCTTCTTTTTATTCAAACAATTTTGAAGAGATGAGCAGGAGTGACAAATGCGATGGTAAGGAGATAAACACCATGAGATTTTGACGGAGTTGTAATGACAATTAGCTCTGAAACTACAAATAAAGCAACTTCAAATTTTTCCTCATTTTCAGAATTTCCTATCCAGATAGAATATTCCATGACGCACTGCGTGATTTGAAATTAAGCATAAATTTGCTTGTTATGAGATTATTTGAGCCATCGTATAAAAACCCTCTCTTTTAGATGCATTAAAAACCCCCCAAAAGGAGTTTTTTCTCACCTCGTTTAAGCTCCATACAATTGTAAGTGAAGTGAACAACATTTATTTTCTATACGAACACATCCTACTAGAAGACAACTTATTCGAGTCTAGCAAAAATGTTTCCTATGACTTATAATCTAATAATTTTCGCTTCCATGTTACTGGAGTACGCATATATGCTGGAGTTAGGCTCGCATAAAGTTAATGAAAATACGCTGACGCAATTGCATATCTCATTTTTTATGACATCATGCATGAGAGGATCAGTAAATCAAACTTTTGTTAGTAGGTTTTCGCAAAAATTTGACATATGCAGAAACTGTCGAAGCTTTCAAAGTAATCGAAATTGCTCCGCAGTCACGAAATAAAGTGTCAAGCGGACGAAAGTATAAGCGATATGGCGTCCTCGGCAGGGCGCCCTTTGGCTGCGTTCATACTGATCCTGAAGTCCGGGAACAGTTCCAGCAAAGTGCTCGAACTGAGCGCTATGCTGGAATTGTTCCCGGACTTTGGGATCAGTATGAAAGCAGCCTTAGCAGCCCTCAAGAGCATGCGAACTATTCCACTTCGTACTCGAAGGGACAATCGAAGTGTGTGACTTGCGGAGACCAAACTACACTCGAATCATTTTCTATGATCATGTGTATCATTGCATGCACTTTCCACCTTTGGTGTCGCCATCTAAATTCTCGGAGCATGCACGCCTTTAGGTGAATTTCAGTGTCTTCTTTAGGTTTTCTCTCTGTTTTGGCCATCAGTGTCCTCAAGGTGATTTAAGCAATAAGAATAGATCAGTCTCTTGCGTTTTTGCGATTGCAAGTCCAAGATGGGGACGCCAAAGAAGGATGGTACAGCAATGCCCACGTGATGAAATGAAATGACTCGACTGTACCACTCAGTGTTCTTGCCCTCCAAAACTCTCCGCTACCAATTTACCACAAACGCCTCTTACAACTACGCCACTCCTCCCTCAAAGTGTCAAAATCTTTTCCTTATTACGGTAACTTGATATCCTCATTGAATTTCGCCAGCAAAACGTGGGGCAATCTGTCAAAAATATACTACTATACCGCCCTCGTAAATCCATCCAGGGGGAGGTGCGTTCCCTTTCTCGGCGGGAATGTAAAATGTATGCTACCCTTGAGTGGCGTCAGCACTTTAGGAAGGTCTGGTTTTCTCCGACCAGCTCGTTCGAAGGCACCGTCCACCCAGATTCTCGAATTCCATGTTTTGATCGTTCCGGGCAAAACATGCGGCCTTCTCATGTCCCTGATTCCGAATATGAAGTTGAAAGTCCGCGAACATCCAACAATCCCCGTTCCAGAGAATTCGCACCCCGACTTTGCAGAACGGTGATTGGCTGCACGCGCACGGATGGGCGGGCATGGACGGAGAGAGCGGTGCCGTCTAGGAGTTCTCGTGCATCTTCGTTATTCCAAAGCGATTTTCTCGCTTCCGAAGCAACATTTTGCGCCGCAACTTGTGCGTTGGCTTGGTAAGGAGCCCCAATATCATATGCTGGCAAAAGTGTAAGACCCTCATTCCAGGGCGAACTGTGCCTTTAAACTCCCCGCGAGTCTTTCCGCTTGCTCCCTGTTCACCTCCTTTTGTACCCTGGTGTGAGGCCAAATCATTCCCTATTTATTCCGCCACCAATTAATGGTAGTCCGGTGTTCCTTTTCGTCCGTCCGTTTCTATTCTCTTACTTATGTGCTCTATCTTTTGCGAAGTTACCGACAGCTGTAGAAGTATGTTTTCTGATGTAGAACTCTACAAAACATTCTTAGCTTCATCGTCCATTTTCAAAATATTCAAAGTTATCTTTGGTACTAATCAAGACTTACTTATTGTCGCTGCAGTAGAAGCAGTAGCAGTACAGCGTCCACAAGTCCTTGGGCACTGATCCGTCATTAGACTATAGTAAGCTGCGTTGTTACAATATGAAGTCATAGACGCACAGTCGGACCGTCCAGTACTTGGATTGACTTTGTCGACACAAGCTCAAACAATCAAGTCTACCTTCTCTTCAAATTCTTACACTTACTGAAAATTTCTTACTAGATGGAATCGAATTGGAAGTACACCTGCCACATGTTCGCGGACATTGCGTAGTCATTAGGTCATAGTAAAGAGAGTCACTGCAGAGCGAAGTTCTTGAAGGACAGTCCGAGACACCCGTTTTAGGATTTACAAGGTCCACGCAAGCTAAACAGATCAAACTTACTCATCAAACACTTATTTTACTCTAAAAGAGCAATTTACCGCCTGGAGCTAGTGTAGCACCACCGACTCTTGTAGTTGGTACAATTACTATGGGAGCAGTTGTTACCACAACGGGTACCGTAACAGGTGGTACGGTCGGCTCGGGAATGACCTAGGATATGAAGTGTGAGGAGAACTTGAGATGATTATAGTCATCGTTTCAACTAGACCGTACAAATTGGAAGTATCGATTTACCTTATCGTTACCCACAAGATCCACATGAACCCCTCGCTTTGGAGTGCAGCAGTTTTCGTCTTACAAAAATGTTTGCCCTCTTGACCCCGGTTAATGAAAATGGATCAAAGTGTTGGTATTAGATTGATGTAAGAGTAATGAGCGCTTATCATTCTGCCGCGGCAGAGAAGATATAACGGCGTGTGAAACATATTATCTTATCATAATAAAGAAAAGTAAGCTCAACAAGATGGACTTTGAACAACTGCAAAAGACTTGACACGGGCGAAATTCGGAAAAAATATATACAAGTTTTCAAATACCAAAGAAACGTTTTTTGGGGCAAAAAAATACTACAAACCTCCAACTTGCTCAAGAAAATTACCTAACAACGGCCATTCATGTGCACACTTGTGTATTATTAGGTTGTCCCGAAAGTTTTGTCCACTTTTTTCAAGCCACTAGAAAACCAAGCACAACAAAGATCTGAAGGAGTTTCAACATGCATTCGATGCTGCTTTTCCTTCTCTTTCTTATGGATACATTTTCGAGCCACAATCTTGTATGCTTATTTTGATAATTGCCAAAATTCTCCGCCCGTCAATTCTATTTGCTCAAAGCTAGGCGATTCAAGAATTTATTTTGAAGTTTAGGGAAGGGTTAAGTATCGATCAGAAAGAGCAATTCTCGAACTAGAGTGTACATTTTTATGTTCTCCTAATCTGCTGTTTTTGCTTCAAAAAATTATTTATTCAGAGGTCTCGATTTTTGGCAATGCTGCACAACTGCAGCAACTTCACGAAAGCTTTGAAGTCTCTGCGAGATGGAGCATGATTGTTATTGAACATTATTTATGCAACATAACCAAGCTTGATTTACTTTGAAAAAGCTTTTTCTGGAATTTTCGTTACTTTTACGTGGTAAACGTAATCAAAGCCGCGGTTATTGTTAAATAAATATTAGGTTAAACAGAAAGTCCTGTCGCACCATTTTCAAAAAATTATAACATCTTTCCGTCACAACGATTTTGCGCAATCACGTTTTATCTGAAAGCGTAAAGCATGTAGTTTCCAGATGTTCCCTGGGGACTTTCCAATATGCTCAGGCTGCAGAGATAAAAATGAAAAAACGAGATCATCCGAAATTCGGAATTTCTAAGCAAAAATTCTAAAAATCTAGAAACTGTGCGATAAAATCCGGAACAGCCATCATCCTAACTTCTCTTATATTTTATTACTAACTGAGTAGAGCTTGTGCTGATCGACCTCTTCTTTCGAAAGTTACAATTTTTTGAAAAAAAAATGCCGAAGAATCGATTAACTCTTAGGAAGTTGATTCTTTGGCTTTTTTTATCATAACTTTTGAAAAAAGAGCTTGATCAGCATAAACTTGACTCAGTCAGTAATAAAACATAAGAGAGTTTAGGATGATGGCTGTTCTGGATTTTATCGCACAGTTTCTAGATTTTTAGAATATTTGTTCAAAAATTCGAATTTCGGATGTTCTCGTTTTTTCATTTTTATCGCTGCAGCCTGAGCATATTGGAAAGTCCCCAGGGAACATCTGGAAACTACATGCTACGTTTTCTGAGTGAATTTGAGTTGAGCAGAACCGTTGTGACGGAAAGAAGTTATAATTTTTTGAAAATGGGGCGACAGAACTTTCGGTTCAACCTAAAATTACAACGGACTTGGTAAACGTGACCCATTTAATCCAAAGTAGGTATAGCGTAGCCAAAGATTTGCTCTATACAAAAGTTACCAACGCTCTTTGAAAACTTCAAAATAAATAAAGAATAGAAGAATAAAGGATATGACCAAAAAGACGCGAAAAAGGAAAGACAAAGTGTGGTTTTTGGCCATCCTTCTGAACATGACCCGGGCTGGACTGGAAAAGCCAGCTAGTTCTACATATATCACAAACCTTTGTAAGTATAACAATAAACTTTCAGCCTTCTTCAAGACCTGGTCGACGAGAAACATCAAGATCAAAATACAAATCCCATAGCAGCAACATTTATTTTTCCTTCGTTACTTTTCACACCCCTCAGGCAAGTCTACAAACGAATGTCTGATACAGATATAAGCAGACCAAGTTGAAAATTCACATAACCTTTTTAGACGAAATTCTGCTTTTTTTTAGATTTCGGATTTTTTTTCTTCCCAACTGCAGATAGATCAAACTTTTTTGCGATTTTTTCTAGGCCGCTTGTGCAGCTTGCGTTGCTTCATTGAATGGTATGTTCTATACTTTTGGATATCTTCTCCACCGCGGCAGAAACAAGAACGATACACCAACCTAATTTTCGTTTCACGTCCACCTAAAAACGTTATTTAGCTGTCCTTTTACACACTTTCTTGAACAATGCTTGGATTTCTCATCATGAGCTTAAGTTTTTATCACAGTGAGAAGGGCTGGACATAAAGGGATCGCTCGACAGGGCATTCTAATCCAGTGCAGCGATTTCCGGAAGCGACTAATACATGAATCTTGACCTTTACCTTTTTACTGATGGTAAATAAAAATAAGGATAAGGGTGGGAATCTCGGCAGATCACTCAGACTCATCATGACATTTCCTCAAACTAAAAAAAAATTGGTCAAGCCGAATTAAGTAGCTCTGTTAAAGGCAGCGGCTCGGCAGATTTTCAGCTTCGGGGTTTTGGCAGATGTAAGGCTATTCCGGCCCCCTGAATCACGATAGGAACTCCCCTTAGCGCGAAAATGGAGACACCCCGTCTTTTGAAACTCCCCTGAGACGGGCGCGGACGAGCGAGCCGTTTTTCTCTGCCGTCAGAGACGCAGAGTAAGGAGGTAGAGAACGCTAGAACAATTCTGCCCTACGAAGCTACGAGTGACGGCGCGTTTCTAGCGGAGAACATACTCGTCCGAACAAGGTTTTAAGGGAGTGAAAGGAGGAAGGGGAGCGGCGCTTGGGCCCTTGCAGAGTTCACAATTTCGGCGCGGAGTTGCTGCTTTGGTACACTTGGAGGGCCTCCTATCCATCTGTGTCAAAATCTGAGGTAGGCCAATCTGCCGAGCCGGTACCTTTAAGTTCAATTTTCTTTTTTGTAAAAACAATCATAACTAATAAATTCCTACTCAATTTACCTTAAAGTTGAAAATTGGTAATCCCTGTCCAGTGCTCCCCATTTCGGACGCTAAGCTGCTCATGATATTTCGCGCTTACTGTTAGATCTTTAGGTGAAGCAAAGGAATCTTTATTCTATGACTTGGTACAAACTGCTCGAGCAATCCTTACTCGAATTTGTCAAGTCCGTGATCAAATATATTAAGTTGGCTCACAAATTTCGGTCGCTTTTGCGGCTTCTGCAAATGCTCAAGACAAATGTTTGACTATTGTTCTGTATCACCAGAAAAAGCACTTAATGAGTACCTGACTTTAGATTCTCTTGGAAATAGCTCTACTGCAGATTCTCTTGGACTAGAATCTATTTCCACCCGGAGAAAAAGCGCAAAAAAGTGAGAAACCCCAGGTATAAAAAATCTCATTTATCAGAGAATTTCAAAGTGGCAGCTCAGAAGTTTATTCATTAAATATGAAAACTTGTGTGTCAACGAATACTAAATCACACGTCTTTACATCTGACGCAGCATGAAAACGAACCTTATGTCAAAGATTTGAGCCTTTGAAAATTTAGCCATACCATGCCAAAACCGCCCCTAATTGATATGTAGTAGAAGCGATTTTTGTGAAACTAGAAGCTTTGAACTACTTCACTCATAAAAGCATGAATGGAATTGGACAGAAAAAGTTTCGAGATTTGCATGCCGAAGTGAAATTATTTTTTAGACAAACTGATAGCTCAAAAATTTAGGTAAGGTATAGAAGATGTTTATTTATTTGTTTGTTTGTTTGTTTGTTTGTTTGTTTGTTCATAGAGGAAACAGAATGATTATGCCAAGATAAAGAAATTGCTTACTTCATTTTCCATGCAGCAATAATCATTATCGATACAAACGGCTGCGTTAGGACACATTCCACCCATACATGCTGGAAACATGGTTTGTTTAATCTTAATTGGTGGTGAATTGTGATTATTTGTGACAGAACAATTCCTGATGAATGAAGTATTTAGGACTTATGTAAACCGGACTAGAGCGAAACATAAATTTCGATCTACAAAACCAGTTTTTCCAGGCCAGGGCCCGGCAGGAGGTGGCATTTCAGAATTTTGAAAACGATATCCCCTTGCAGCCAAAATTTCTTACGACTTCCCCTTTGACCCTATTTTTGACCCACGTACGTCCCTGACAAACAGATATAACAGATAATAAGATGGGCGGCCTCAGCGCTTATTATAGTAGTACTGCCTGGCTTTCCTGGTCCAGCCCGGGTCATCAAGGTTTCAGCTCAATGGGTTCATCCGCAAAGGAACCTATAAAAAACATAGGGTCAAGATTTGCACAAACTTTGACGTTTATATATCTAAGATACTACTCATTTACTAGTCAGCTGCGAAACTTTACAATTTACAATAACCGATTGCGATTGGAGCGCGCTTTCCGAGGCCGATCATAACGCTGTGAACCCTATTTGGGGCTGTATCGAAGCGGTGCCTTAGTGGTTTTGGAAGCGGATTTGAATATATAGTAATACTCTCGACCTAGTCCACATTTATGTAAAGAAATCCGGGAAATTATGTGAAGGGAAGCAGGGAGCCACCCCAGGTGGCTCCCAGGTGGCGCGGGAGCCACCTAATTTCGAAAAACACTTACCATTTTTTAAATTCACATAAGTTTCTCATAATTCTTCATACTTTTTTTGTGCTCATGGTCCTCCAACTACACAGCAAATTTGGTGCCATATCGTTACTTGTGCATTGAAAACGAGCTTATTTTGTTATTTTCCTTTTACAAGAATTGCGATTTGAATTCCCGCCTGCGGGCAGGCTAGCGATCGGAGCACAGAATCTTCACATTGCTGGAATCTAAGTTCATAGGACAGTAGCATCAACAAGAATGATGAGTAAAGAATGATATGTGCATTGTACGACTTTCCCTTTGCTTTTTCGGGCCAAAAACGATACCCAGCTTGTGAAAGCGCCACCCCTGCCGGGCCCTGTTCCAGGCTTTTGATTGATTAGAGTCACTTCGTCCCGTTATGATCGTGATTCTGCACACTAGGCGCGGCAACGGGCGACGCCTTTACTAGCGACTCAGTAGATTCTTTTCTAGTGTAACAAACTGTAGAAATGTGTACTACCAACTAGTACATATGTCATCAGATCAAAAGAGACGAGATGAAGAGGAAAATTCACTGGATAATGTAGGTAGAAAAACAACTACTCTGTCTGCCCACATTCTTTTCCTGCCGCTCCACCGTCCATAGTTCAACAGATATATTTTCCAATATTCATACCAAAAAAAAGTTCAATAAAAAAAAGAAAAACTCACGCCCGAGGCCCCCAGGGCTAAGGCAAGTCTGCGTCCTCACCCTACCGAAAAACCCGATCGAGAGCAGAGCAACGTAAAAAAGCATGAGGAATAGGATAAAGCAAAAGCCGATGCAAGGCTTCCTTTTGTAGTCGTTCTCCTGGTCGAAGTTCATTGCGACTTCTGTTCCACTTGGTCTTCCCATGCCTAGAACAGATGTTCAAATACGCAACACAATACAATAATTGTCTGCTAAGAGAACGATGACCTCTGAACTGGACTAGAATGGCTGCATGATAGATTTGATCAGAGCCAGCACTTGCTGTTAAGCTCCATAATCGCCTAGCTCAAAAATTAGACGAAAAAGGTGACTTATGGTCCGGTGTGAGTCATTTCAATTGTGACCCACTTCATGGGCGTATTTGACCGTATTTACAAGATTGTAGGGGTTAAGTCCAAAATAATGGAAACTTTTCATCCTTTTCTTCAGCCTTTGCTAAAATTCGGTCATAATGTTAGATCAGTACAGTGATTGCTCTCTAGCGCAGCCTTTTCTCCTTTTCTCAGCAGTTATGTTAATAATTCGATTTTATCTAGCTGCTGGAAATTTATCCTATTGAAAAGCAGTCATTTTTGCCTTCTTCATCTAGCTGATACTTGAGATTGTCTTTCAAAATTTTGGAAAAATTCGATAATCTAAAATACGGCGAATCTTTTTCATTGCAAATTTTTCCTGTTTTTTCCACTTAGCTTTTCGCGTTGTTTTCGCAACGATTTTCGGAAATCCCTGATTTGTTTTAAACAAAAATGCATGAAACCTTACGACTTTGATATTCGACGGACTTCCTTCTATTCCCAAAATTACTCGATTGCCGAAACTTAATTTTAGGGAGTAATGAAGCGTTTACCGCTTCAAAATATTATGACTGAATTTTGGGTACGGTATGGAAGCTTTAGATATTGACAGTGAAAAATCTTGTGTTCCAAAATTTTGCGATTTTCGGCAGTTATTGCAGCATTCAAACAGACCATACTGCTGGGAAGAGGAGGGTAGACTCAGTCAGGTTCCGTTCGAAGCATTAGTCTACCAATATTGAACAGGCCCAGTAAGCATTCTTAGGCTGAGCAATTTAAAACAACATTGTAGTGTAAAATGCAGAAAAATTGTGATTTTAGGCTGTCTCACTAAGATTTCACCAGGTACGTTCAAAATTATAGAATAGACTGCTTACTTCAACGAAGTACAGGAAAGGTATGCTGGTTACACTGTGCAAGAAAAAATTTGTCTTTTCGCCCATGTTATCCTTGCGAATATTTTCAGCTTACAAAAATCTGAATCAGGTTTTGCTCAAGAACAATGTCACGAATACTGGTTTTTAGAAGTATGTAATTAGACTTACATTATTTTTATTCACTCACTTCACCTTCTGAATTTTATTCAGAAGGTGAAGTGAGTGAAAGCCATCATTTCTTCCGCAACCTGCAGAATAGCACATACAAGATTTAGAAGTTTCAATCATTACAAAATCTGTTAATCTTGCAGATACTCAGTTTTGCAATGCATATGGTATGCCGAAATGTGATTTTTTACAATAGTTTGCTAATGTTATTTTTAGCTTCCTGTAAACTACCTACCTACCACCACTAAAAATCTTTTTGTTATCCCCAAAAATCAACTTTCTTTCGAGGAATCACAATGCATGCTCTCCACTTTCAACTAACAATAAGTAACATTCTTCCTAACTGTGTTGATTGTTCATTTGGAGAATATTGAAAATTTGAGTTTTCTTCACGTCACCGCTGAAGAACAACCCGTCATAGATTTATTGAGTATGGGATCCATTTTGCATAAGCAAAGATGTGTCCAAAATGTATGAAAATCAACAGTCATGTCAAGAACACACTGCAGGAAAGTATATGCTAGAAAAGGTTGTTGTGAGACAATAGAACAATAAATCACAATAGAATCAAATTATCAATGTTATCTCTAATCAGCCTTCTCTTTGTCGTCATTTGCCAGTAAACATACACCGACGAACACTAAACTCAAACAAAACACCAAAATATGGAGTGCGATTCGGAAAAAAGCAGGTACCCGAGTATACCCTAAATTTTCGGAGTTAGCCTTGTACAATAAAAATCACTTCCTGATTTCCTTCACATACCGTAAGAGCGAAGTTTGTTCCCGTATTCACATCCATGCATTGCTCTGTTGAATCAGCCAGCGATAAACATTTAGTATATGCCCACCACATGAGGACATTGCTCACTGCAAAAACTACCAGCGATAGAGCAAACTTCTGGAAAAAAACAATTAACTTTAAGATCAGGAAGAAAATAGAGAAATTCTGGTCCACATACCTCATACTGTGCGGTCCCAGAACATTTTCACCAAAGACAAATTTTGACGCTATGGTGGCGACGGCACCAGCCGCACCTGCACCCATTGCGTAGGAAAGCATTTGTGTCATACAAGGTACCCAGTCGAGATGAGAATAACTGTTTAAAAAAATCACATCGCCTAGTGATAAAGGCAAAGTTCCGATTTGATACGAAAATACACAAGAACGCGAAGAAGTTCAGTTGGGTTTGAAAAGTTAAGATTGTAGCATTCAGTTCTATCTCATGTCAGCTACTACCCTCGTCTATCAAAACATTACATTTCTCCCTTACGATATGCAACGGCGACTCGATTTTTCGAAAGGAAGGGGGGGGGGGACGAAGACTTTTTCAAATGAAGGGAAGTGACGTTAGCCCAAAAGATCCAAAGAAGATTCCCTGGTTTTTTGCTTCTTTCGAACCAGTCAGCCTCAGAATACTCTCACAATTTGAACATTGTAGGAAAATCAGTCCAATTTGCAGTCAAAAGGATACTCGTATAGACTTACTGATGACCATTCTGAAGAGTTTTCCGATTTTTACAGAATGAGGATCCATCCCGCAACATTCTCACGCGGGTTTATATGCGAATCCGTTCCAAGTTTTATACGGACTCAACAACAGGGTGTCCCAAAAAGATACGCACACTGTTTGATTTTTGATAATTCGCTTGCTTCGATGTCTTTTGCCGACCTTTTGGTATCATTCTGTAGAGCCGGCTTCAACTTAGATTCACAGTACGAAGCGAATCTCCGTTTTCTTTGTTACTGTAGGATTACGGTAGGAACTTTCAGCATACTTCGTTATGGTAAATTAGACCGTATGATGAGATGATTCCAACAAACGTAGAGTTGTGTATCAGAGTTTTTAAGCTGATTTCACTACGCAAATTTTTGCATTTCTGAGCTTTTTTAGAGGTGTAACACATTTTCAAAAAACATTCGAAGAGCAGTTACTAATGTTTGCGCGTACTTATGAAGGAAGCATGAACCTAATGTGCAAATTTCATATCTGAGATCAGCAAGTCTGATTAGCCTGATATGAAAACTCTTGAATTGTTTGGCTTCCTTATTGAGGCAAAATGCGGCACTCAAAAAATCTTTGAAGTTCCTACCGTAAAATTATAGTAAGCAAGAAACCTTGGAAATTTGCTGCATACTGTTATTAAAGATTAAAGAGTCTGCAGAGTGAGTGAGAGAGAGGGAAAGCTGTGTTTCTCTTAGCAGTTTATGGCAGAAGCGGTCCGGGA